GAATGCGAGGACGGACTCTAGTGCGAGCTCTAGCGTGTACACCCCTCGTGGCTGCCCATACCCCCACGGTACCCGAGCCCTAGGCCATACCCCCACGGTACCCGCACCCTAGGCCATACCCCCACGGTACCCGAACCCTAGGCCATACCCCCACGGTACCCGCACCCTAGGCCATACCCCCACGGTACCCGCACCCTAGGCCATACCCCCACGGTACCCGCACCCTACCAAGGCCATACCCCCACGGTACCCGCACCCTAGGCCATACCCCCACGGTACCCGAACCCTAGGCGGGCAGCCCTCGTGGCTGGGTGCCGGCTCGCTTCGCGTGGGTCCCCCGCTCCCGCCGCCCGAGACCCGTCCTCGACCTTTCCTCGACCTTTCCTCGACCTTTCCTGGACAAGTCCCGCAGGCGCCTCCTCCCGCCGCCGAGGACATCTGCGACGTTTGCGGTGGCGCCTCCGCCCCCGGGGACGCCCTCCTAGGCTGCATCGACGCGTGCGGCCGCCTCTTCCACTTCGGCTGCCTCGACAACCCGCCCAAGCGGCGGCCGAGGAGCGGCGCGTTGCTTTGCCCCGAGTGCCGCGCGGCGGCGCCTGCCAGGGCCCTCAAGGAGGCCCTCAAGGACTCCCCGGCTCAGAAGCGGGCGCGCAAGGCGGCGCCCAAGGAGGCGCGGCCGCTGTCCGAGCACGAGACACTAGTGAGTGAGGCTTGTGAGTCGGCGATTAGCAGGCGCCGCCGCTCTCCGAGTACGAGCGCGAGCGGCAGAGGAACATCGAGAGCAACCAGCAGAAGCTGGTGAGCGAGCCACGCCCCGGGGCGCGGCGCGCAACCTCGGGCAATCTCGGCGCATCTCGCACAATCTCGGGTAGGCGGAGCTTGGCCTCGAGCCTGCGGTGCCGACCAAGTCGCGGCCGAGGGGCGGGCGGGCGCGCGGGCGCGGGCGAGGCACAGGCGACGAGGCGTGGCGGCCGGGCGCCGGCTCGTGAGGCGCGCAGCGGTCCATGGCGGTGGCGAGCCCTCTCCGGACTCCGGCGCCGCGTGCGCACCAGTCAGCGGGCGCTAGGCTCGAGTGAGCACTTGTGGACCGACGCGTACACTGCCGCACCGCCCCCTTCCTCGATCATGCGCGTTTGCATTTATCCGGTCCGTGTTTATGTTACTGTGATCTCTTGCCGTGCGTGCCGCGAGTACGTCTCAGTGTAAGCCTAGGTATATGAAGGGGGCAAGAGGAACACACACGCTCGCCGAGTGGTAGGGCCAACCCTCGCTCTCTACGATTACAACGCTGGTCCGTGGCCGCTGGCGCTGCCGCACGCGCCGCTCGCGCCCGGGCCCGAGAGAGACTGCGTCGCCGTCGGGGTGCCTGCAGGTGAAGGCTGAAGTCCCGCGGGCGGGCGGGGCTCCCCCGGGCAGGGCCCGCCCCGCACGGCTTCAGCGTTTACTTTCCTCATTAGAGTTGCGATACCCACATCGGGCCAAAGGCCGCCAAACATGCATCACCACCTCGCCTCGGCCGACGTCTTGGTCCCCGAGGGCGGCAGCATGGCAATGACCGCGACCGTGTCGCCGTGGTGCCAATTGATCAGCTTCTCGGCCTTGTCGCGCGGGTTGAGCACGAGGGTCTTGCCGTCGACGAGGTAGCCGATCGCGATCTCGCCATAGGCGAGCGCCTATACATGTGCATGCGCATGTCACGGGACGCCGTGGCTAATGCGATTCCGACTGAGACGAGCACCTTGGAGGCGAGCTTGAGGAAGCTGCAGCACCTTCCGTCCTTGACATACTTTGTTGACGGGTGGATGAGGAGGCTCGGCCCCGTCGACTCGAGGAGGGTATTCAGGATCGGGCTCACCTGTGGGGCAACGCAGTATCAGCGCCCGGCGGCAGAAAGGGAGCTCAGTGGACTGCGGCGTAAAGGGTTGAGTGCGATGGCGGCTACGATGACGGCGGCGGCGGGTCTTGGTTGGCGCGGCGTCGGGGCGGCGTCGGGCGGGCATGCCTCGGCCCGCTCGGAGATCATCGCGACGATGCGTGCGACCAGCTCATTGGATGCGACAAAGTCGCCTTCGGCGAGGCCGCTCGCCCGCACGTTGCGCTGGAGTGAGATATCTCTCAGCTCGGTGACCACGGTGCACTCCGAGTTGAGCTCGCGTGATGCGCGCCGGCGGCGGCCGCTCCGGTGGCTCTGCCGGAGGGTGTGCCAATGAGAGGGGGAAGCGCCGCCCGCCGACGTGGGATTGGCGTCGTCCAGCCGCGGGCGACGGTCCGACGCGAGCTCGAGCGGAATTCCCTCGGCGAGCGGCGGCAGCGTGGTGGTCGGGTCGTGGCACCAGCGCCGCTGTATGTCGCGAGTAAGCATCAGAGCAGCGAGGGCGAGCGAGTCGGCGTGGGTCGGATCGCCGCTTTGGCCGTGGTCCGAGAGGATGAGGATCGCGTCGCACGCGAGCAGCGGCAGCATCTCGAGGGCGTGCCTCGCCGTGGTGGCGCAGTCGGCTGCCGAGCGCCCCATGCGCCGCTCCCTCAGCGCCCACCAGGGCGCTCTCAGATCGCCCACTAGGGGCATCGAGCAGCCGCCCTACCGGATGGTCAACGAAGAGCGGCGGAGGGGAGTGGTCTCGTCCGAGTGCGTCGCGCAATACCACACCCTCGACCAACACGCACGCATCCAGCGGCTGAAGCGCTTCGGTCACATCTTCTGACGGGATCCTCTGAGGCGCGCGCGCAAGAGCGAGCGCGGGGCTGCCCGCGGCGCGGGCTCGGCCTTGGGGCAGAGAGTGCTTTGGAGGCACACCCTGGTTCCTGCGAAGGATGGAAGGATGGATGGTCGGCGGCCGGCGGGGCCAAGTAGACAGACGCGCGGCAGTAGGGGTCAGGAGGGTGACGCCGGGAGGGAGGTATTAGCGCGCGCGAGATATATTCTAGCAGACCGGCCCAGGAAATATTTGTTTTCGATTTTTTTATTAACATTATCGTCTCGCCCCGCCAGCCGGCGCCGCTCAGGCCCATCGCCCCGTCAACCCCCCGGCTGCCTAAAACCCGCTTGCTCGTCACCGGCGAACTGGTCGCGGCGGTGGTGCCGCCCGGGGTGATGGCGGGCCGACTGAGAGCCAAGGCTTGCAACCGCATCGCGAACGCACGTCTGGCATGCTTTTTGCCGGTTTATCCACGCGGACGGCGGCGCCATTCCAAGCATTATGAGGGTGATTGCGGGCCGGACACGCGACGGGAGACGTTGCAAAGCGCCGCGTTGCGCCCCGCTTCGCGCCAAGATGTACAGAATGTGCAGAACACCTTTAGCAAGCTTTAGCAAATGTCCCCACTGGGCCGGGAGCACGCTACTAGTACTATGCCTCAGCCGAGCCCACGCACCTAGCCACGCTACTAGTACTATGCATCACATGGGACGATCCAAAAGCACTGAAAGCACACACGCGCACACGCCGCCTCGCGCAACGGCGGAGGCCGGCACGCAAGCGGGGGCAACATGGCACAGAGACAAAACAGAGAGAGCGAGTCAGGTCACGTGTTGTTTGAGTAGGGTAGAGCATGGCGTGGGACTGCGAGAGCGAGCATGCTCCATGTCGACTCCATGCACCGGGTCCAGGCAGGGAGCCGGCACCAGAGGGGCAGGTCCTCCCGGCAAGGCCAGAGAGGGGCGGGGGCGAGGCAACCGACCAGCCAGCAGCCGACCAGCCGGCCGATCAGGCCGACGGAATAGGCGGCGGCGTGGGTCCGTGCGGCAGCCAGCTGGTGATAGAGGGGTGGTGGGGGCGGTCATCGAAGCTCAGAGGCCGACCGGCGCCACTCGCCCTCCGGTCAGGCGAGGTGTGTCTCGGAAGTGTCTCGGAAGTGTCGAAGCTGCTCCTGTGCCAGCTCCGTCCCCGGGCGGGCGAGCGAGGGCAGCGAGGGAGGGCGCGAGGCGGCGGCGGCGGCGAGGGTGGCGGCGAGGCGGCGGCCGAAAGGCAAGCCGTCGAAGAAGGGCTGAAACTGCTCCGTGCCGGGGATGTTTTGGAGGATGGCCTCCTCCAGCATCGGGTCCACGTCGCTAGGCAGCTCGTCCTCGCACTCGGAGCGGCTCCCGCCGATCGGGCAGCGCCGCTTCCCGCCGTTGCCGTCCTGGGACGGCGCGAATGCCACCGTCTCGTCCGTCAGAAAGTAGCAGGCGCCGAGGACGACGACGGCGGCGAACGTGCCGGCGACAGTGAGCACGGCCACGCGCTTGAAGAGCCAGATGAAGAGGGCGTAGTGGCGCGCGCCGAGCCACCGCCTAGATGGTGGGACGCGTGGGGGGGCGTGGGGAGGTGTGGGGGGGCGTGGGGAGGTGTGGGGAGGCGTGGGGAGATGTGGGGAGGTGTGAGGAGGCGTGGGGAGGCGTGGGGAGGTGTGGGGAGGTGTGGGGAGGTGTGGGGAGGTGTGGGGAGATGTGGGGAGATGTGGGGAGGTGTGAGGAGGCGTGGGGAGGTGTGGAGAGATGTGGGGAGACGTGAAGAGGGAGGGGTGCGTGTGGGGAGATATGCGCACGCCTCTACCTCTTGGCTACATCTCGGCTACATCTCGGCTAGAGCTCGCCTCAGGTAGAACTCGACGGTTCGCTGCCCCCACAGCTGCCTGTTGACGCGGGAGAGCCAGCAGCGGACGCCGAAGCCGAGAAGCACGAGTGCGAGAGCGAGCAGGGAGAGGAGGAAGAAGGCGAACCGCAGCAGCGCGTGCAGCACCGGCACCTCCTTGAGGACGACGGCGTTGACCTCCGTCGGTACGCCGCGAAAGACGCGGTCTCCTTCGAAGTTGTAGATCGAGTTGTCGCCGCGCCCCTCGCACATCAGCATGTCAAAGTCGACGATCGTGTTGAGGAACCCCTTGGACGCGAAGGGTGTGCCCTCGCCCAAGCCGTGCACCTCCATCGTCGTCGCCTCCTCGTCAAAGGTGGCGTCGCAGGAAGTGACGAAGTGCTGCAGGTTGAGCGGGTCGGTCTCGATGGTCACCTGCCCCCTCCCCGACACCCGCGCGTAGCCGGAGCCAAGGTACAAGGCACCCCACGCGCCATACACCTCGTACTCTGCGCGCGACCCGAAGTGCACTTCGGACAGCTTCATCGCGGTGCTCTTTGCGGGCATCAGCAGCGGCAGCGCGATCACGTCGTCCTCGTAGCAAGCGGAGAGCTCGAACGCGTTGATCTCGAGTGCCTCGAGCGAGACGTTCTTCAGCTTGACCACCACGCCGAGTACGTCGGCGCGCGGCTTGAGGTTGTTGCCAAGCACAGGCTGCGGAAAGTCAATCTGGCTGATGGCGCTGTCGATGCGCCGCTCGATAAAGTTCGACATCCAGACCGGGGACGCGTGGCAGCCGTTGCCCGTCGACCCATCCCTCAGCCACGGCCAGGCGACAAAGGCGAGCGAGGTGAGGGAGGTGATTGCGAGGACGGTGAAGGCGATCAGCAGCGGCACCAGCACCAGCCACGCGCACGACCAGGTGATGCACCGCTTCGCGCCTTTGTTGTCGCGGCGCGTGAGGAAGGCGGGGAGCAGTGGGTTCTGGTCCGAGAGGATGATGGAACCAAGCTGGCGCGAGAAGAGTGACTTCCGCGTCATCTGCTGCGCCACCAGCACCTGCCGTGCACGCGCCCACGACGAACCCACCGCATGCTGAGCTGACTCGAGCACTGACCAGCGCCCGGTGCCGTTGCTGCCCTCGCTGGCCAGCCTTGCCCAGCCGCCCTTGCGCGCTGCCTTGGGCGACCTGGCGGGGCTGTGGAGCGACGCCCAGCCTCCCAGCCCCAGCTCGAGACCTAATGAGCAACTACTCCACCGTTACTAGTTCATAATTGATGAATAGCCTTCTAGCCCCAGCTCGAGACCGTTCCAGTTGGAAGAGAAGGAGCCAAACGGCTTCACCTCGGGAGGCCGCGCCTCTCTGCTGCCGTCGCGGGACACCTCCGGCGCGGCCCGTCCCGACGGCGTCTGCTGCCGCGACGGCGCGCTGTAGAAGGAGCGAGGCAGCCACGACGACGCGTTGTGGTCGTCGCCTGCGCCGTCGTTGCCATCGCCCGCCGCGATGCTGCCGCTGCTATCCGCGCCGGCGGAGGCCTCCTTGGCGCGGTCCCACGCGGCGTTGCTCCGCCAGTCGTGCTCCGTCGCGTACGACCGCTCGTCCAGCGGACCGAGCGCTCCTCCGTCACCGAGCAGCGACTCGGAGAGCTCGCGCGGCTCCGCGGCGCCGTCGCCGGCCAGCGGCGGCGGCAGGGAGTGGCGCGCCTCGGTGCGGTCGCCGTCGTCGTGCGACGAGTGCCGGATGATGCCGCGCGCGATCGCGAGCGCCTCCTCCTCGGAGCTAGGCACCGGTGGCGGGAAGCGCCGCTGCCCGGGGAGGCGAGGCGGCGAGCGGGTCGGGGTGACCGGCTGCTCGCCAACCATGCGAAAGCCGGCCCGCGCGGGCCGGCTGGCGCGGCTCTGCTGCTCGCGCGGAGGCATTCTGGTTGGATAGAGGTGTCCACGGCCACGTCGGGCGTCCCTTGCGGGCGTCCCTTGGCGCAACCCAAGGGAGACGGCCGCGCGAACGAAGCGCGGCGTCCGGCGAATTCTTTTTCCGTGGTTGAATTCTTTCCGTAGGCCTCGCTCGAGGTTGTGTGTGTGTGTGTGTGTGTTGGCACGACTCGCGGGCCCATGCGGTGTGCGGCGGTGGGACGGCGCGCGGCATGCGCATGCGGCGGCGGCCGTCGAGTTTCGCAGCATGTGGTTGGGGCCGGCGAGCCCGTGCTGCAGCGGCGCGAGGGGCGACCCGCGGGGAGCTAAGGGCGCAAAGACAGCCGCGGCTCACGCGGGAGTGCGCGCCCCGCGCCGCAAAACTTCGACCAGCTGGCTACGAGCCAACCGCGTCAACAACGAGCTGTGCCTTCCCCATATCCGCCTTGAGCTCCTCGCGCAGCTTTTCCATCAACGCCTCCTCGCGCTTCTCCAACGCCTTCTCCATCTTGGCGTCGATCTGACTGAAGTCCACCCCCTCCACAGCAACCTGCTTAAGCGCACCTTTCACGAGCGGGCGCACAACGCCGATGGATGACAGGACGAGGATGAACAGGATGGTGAACGCCAGCTCAATGTAGGTGGCGTAACCGGCTGCCTGGCCGCCAGCACCCATCCTGCGACACAACACTTAGGGGTGAGGGCTGTAGCAAGGGGAGGGGGTCGACGCGCGTGTTCAAGGGGGGGCTGGCTGGCTGGCACAGCGTCGGGCACAGCGTGACATTCGTTCTCGTCCAGATGAGAAGCATGTAGGGCACCTCATCGCTCGGCAGGTCTCCGCAGCAGTGAGCCTCGCAAGCCCCTCCGGCGAGCAGCCAGGGGCACCGGCACCCGTCAAACCCGCCGCTGCCTGATCCATCTGAGGTCCAGCACGCGTTTTGATCAGGCGCTGGCCGATCGCTCGGCTACGGCTTCCAGACCCACGCAACTGGCAGCTTCGTTGCAACCTCAACGGCGAAACGGTGTGGACGATGAAGGCGGCATGGAAGAACACAGCGGGCTGGTGGGGGATGGCACGTGGGCCGTCGAGTATGACCCGACCAACACGCCCGTCCTCTTTGAGGATGACTGCTGCTTCAACGCCGACGCGACCATCGAGCTGCGGTCGGGCAAGATGGTCCGCATGGACGAGCTCGCTGTCGGTGATGTCGTGCGGTCCGACGCGGCAGGCGGCTCTCGACGGTCTACACCATCGCGCATCACAAGGGCGATACCGCCCGCGCCGTCGGCTACCGCGCATCCTCCTCGAGAGCGGCCACGCCCTCGAGCGCACGGCCGTGTTTGTCGGCAAGCAGGCGCGCATGGCCGCCAACGTGCGCCTCGGCGACGAGCTCAACGTTGTCAACTGCGCCGTCACGCAGCGTGTGACGCAGACCACGACCGTGTGCAAGACCGGCGGCTTGCGTGCCCCATGTGCAACGGCGAGACATGCATCGAGGTCTGCGGCGTGGGCGCCGAAGGCACGCACCACGTCGTTGGCCTGCACAGCGCATCGGTGAGATGGTTGAGGTGGGCAAAGAAGGGGTGCATTGTGGTGAGATGACTTGTGCTGCAACCTGCATCCAGGGTGCTGTTTTTTTTGAAAACATGGTGTCGATAACACGAGGTGAGAGGCCCCGTTGCGCATAGAGCGCCATAAGGGTTTCCAGGATCCAGCGTGGTTACATAGAGGCCCTCTGCCCCTGCCGCTCGCCCTGGCCCCTGCCCCGACCAGGCTTTGTTTGGTGGCTTCGCTCCCTCGGCTGCGCTGCCTCGGACGCCGCCCGCGCCCCCAGCAAACGGATCACACGCACGCAAAGACACCGCGGTCTTAGGCGGTCGGATCTGCGAATCTGCGTACGACAGGACTAGAAAGCACCGCGGCCTCCTCCCGGGCGGCGTAGGCCCTGTCAGCCACAGACCGGGGGTCCCCACGCCACAACCTCGGCCGGCGTGTCGAGCCGGGTTGCGCACGCCCTCGCTCAGTTGTCCCTCTGCCCCTCCACGTAGGCGCAGCAGAGGCCGCCGCAGAGCCGCGGGAAGAAAGTGCAGGTCTGCCAGCAGTCGGCGGGGCCGAAGGAGCTGCAGCAGCTCTTGAGGCAGCCTAGAAGCGGTGAGCCGCGGCACGAGATCATCCGAGACTGCCCGAGAGAGAGAAAGCACGCGCCACCCGGCGCTGCGGGTCTGGAGGGTGCCTCCAAGCAGGTTGCCTAACGGACAAAAAAGAAATCGTCGGAGAAAAAGAAATCGTTGGCTAGGGGCGCCTCCGCAGGTTGCCTATAGAGGTTGAACGGTGGTGGAGGCGAGGGAGGCGTTAGCGTGGGGACAACTCCGGTCGGAATGGGGGGCGGGGGCAGGTCGGCGCAGTGTAGTGTAGGATCGGGCGGATCATTCTCTCTCCCCCCGAAGGCTGCCGCGGCCCAAGGAAGGCAAGACCGGCTCGTCCGGCGGGGGGGGGGGGGGGGTCTGAAGTCAAGAGGCTTTTGTTTGGCGGTGCGCGGACCCCGCGAGCTTGCTGTGAATAGTACAGCTGTGAATAGTATGCTAAACTGTCCGGAGGGGGGGAGCGGGGGGGGGTCTGAAGTCAAGAGGCTTTTGTTTGGCGGTGCGCGGACCCCGCGATCGTGCCGTCTGACTCGAGGTGCATCCTGACCTATTCACAGCTGTACTGTTCACAGCTGTGCTATTCACAGCCGTCTGACTCGAGGTGCATCCTGACCTAT